AGGACGGACGGACGGGTGAACGGGGCCAGGGAGCGGGTGAGACCTGCCCGTCCCTCTGCCTTCGGGGAAAAACCGGGACTCGGCCACCGGCGCCGCTTAAACCTCGGCTTCCCGCACTTCAGCCGGCCTTACGGCAAAAGCCGGGTTTATCGCCCAACAACCTTCGGTTCGTTGTTTCGGCTTCTTTCCGGCAGTGACGTGGGCGATAATCACACAGATGCTGGCTCTGACCGTACTAAATCTGTAACAACAAAGGCAGCTAATCCGAATGGGACCAGGATCGGGCCCACTGTCCCCGGGTCCCTTCCAAACATCAATCCGAACACCGGGAACGAGAATACGCGGGACATGAAATCTTTCAGTAAGCGGGAAAGCTCGCCGTCGTTCACTACTTGAAAATTTAACAATTTTGAAAGTGGAAGAGATGTAACTCGATAGACACAACTGAATAGACACAATTACTGCTGAACTTAATAAAGACGCACGATCGTGTGATTGACACTTGCTGATTTAAAGGGATTGTTTATTGTTTGTGCGAAAGGCCAAGTGTGCCGGATACTTGAAACAAGCTTCCAAAACATCATTCACACCGCAACAATGCATTTTCTGCATTTATGGTGGAGTGAGTGTGTATCTAGCTCTTAATTTGTCTGTTTTATAACTGCAATTTTGGTTAACCATAGCTTCTCAGCAAATGAGCGTGGCTCCTCCTAAATACAGCCACAGAATTCAAGCAGCCTCATAATAAAAATCAGAAAATAAGTTGGTACATCCTAACCACGCATTTTAATTCCCCGCTTGATTATTTTTATACTGTTTCTCAGTATCGCTTTGTGAAAACAAAAATTCTTATATGAATTTGTGGCCTGCAATGACATACGCAGGGTGGGCAACGAGGCCCGGGATCAGACCCCCGCTCCCTGACCGGCCTCTCGCAGGGGTCCACGTCCCCTCGTGCAGAGCCGACCGCTCAGCCGCGTAACCCCCAGCGCCACGCGTCGCTCCGGGAAAGACGGTCGGAAGCATTAGGATGCTCAGCACGGAAACGTCAGCGGCGCTCTGCAGCTGGCCAGCAGAACATACCCTCCCGCCTCGCAACGAGCCTTCGGCGCACAGGCTGCTCTACCGTTCCCTTCCGAAACCGGTCACCTCTGCAATGCCACCTGGAATCTCACCTGAACCCGCACCGAGCCGAGACCCTACAGTAACAGAGCTGCTCCTGTTCCTCCCGCTTGCCGAAGGGACACCGCCGAACACTCCGAAAATGTTTAACGAGACACTTCATGCAGCTAACAGCGAATCACAACCGACACCTTAAATATTTGGTGCATGTGCACAAAACAGCACAGGAACTCCAAAAATCGTGAGAGGGCACATTAACAGCATCAGAACAACGGGTTTAAGATCTTCAGGTCAGCAAGGGCAACAGACAGGGTGAGGTGTACGAGGTGGCACACAGCCTAAGAGGAAAGGAGAGACAATGAAGACAAGTCCTGCTTTTTAAAGACAAGACAGGAGCGGATGAAGTATTGACACTTCCGTAAGACGATACTGACATATCTGTCCATACGCAGGTATGCAGCTGCCTGGCAGCCCAGACGCTTCGCCAACCGAATCGTCTCTGCTTTGCTCGGCTTCAAGGACACCAGCTCTCTGCCACATTTCACAGCAGTCAGCTTTCCACTTGCACTCGGAAAAATGATGATAATGAACGTGGGAAGTTCAAAGGGCAGTTTAACAGATCTCCAAAGTAACAGCACACCGCTCGGATGCTGCTGTAAGCCCTTCCGCTCTCTCCCGCCTCTGCCCGATAGATGCATTGTTTGGTATTAAAATAATTCTCCAGGACATTCATGAAAAGGGGCTGGGAAAACTTGAGGATCTCTTCTGCCATGATGTAAGGGAAATGGATACTGCTCAAGGTAGGTGGCAACAAAAAATGCCTGCCTGCCTGCCTCCCGAGGGGGGGGGGGGGGGAACCCCAAACACACAAAAAACAGAACAAACCCCAAACTGTCTAACCAAAATTTGAAGCTGAGACTTCAAACTCTAATGAAATAAAAATTAAACACCCAACTTTCTAACAGCAGTTTCTCTAGCTAGGTTAACACCCTCAGGCAGACCCACACAGAGCTCGTACTCGGTTTAACCACTAAATAAATCAGTCTATGTTCTAACCTACTTTGCTTTAGACAGTTATCAAGTTTTAAGGGAATGTAAGAACATCTCAAGTTCTTATCAGACGTCAGTTTACACCCCACCCCCCCCCCAAACCACGTGCACCTCTGTTTCGCCCCAAATCAACAGTATCCCTAAAGTCCTTCAGTAATTTTAAAATGAAAGAAAACCCCACAATAATCTAAATATGATGTCCACCTGCACTGGGGTCTACAAAAAGCTACCCACCAAACTCAGAATCCTTTAGGACAGTAAAGACACAGTGGTTTCTTGGTTTCTACCAACTGAACTTTTGCCCCAGGAACAACAACAACAAAAAAAGGCAAAGCTATTTTTCCTTTTTTTGACAGCAAAGGGAAGGAAATGCAGGTAGGAAAGCGTGGAATGGCAGAAGGGGTGATCTACTTGTGACTGGACATTTTGTCCACACCATAGTCCTACAGGTGTGTTTGAAAATAACCTCTCAAAGTCTAAGCCCACACAATGTTAAGCGTGAAGGAGAAACGCTCCTATTTAGCAGCAAATTAGTGATGTAGAACAAACTGTTTGATGCCACAGCTGCCATGTATGAGAACTTAGCTTCTTGCTTCTAGAAGAGGAGAGGAAACAAAAATGCATAGGTCTGTTTTAAGTATCGACTTTTAATAGCTTGTTTCTCATAAGGGAACAGGGGATGTTTTCTGTTTTAGAAATACAGGTACCAGTTGAGCTTTAAATACAGCCTGCTCCTGCCAACAGGTCACGTACATGATTTATTTGGCTTCAGCTTTTGTTTTTATGCATTAAGCAACCTTCAACCTTCTTTTGTAATACAATATATAGACAAATTTAAGTACAGTAATAGTGTAGGTATTTTACTGTCTTCACATTTTTCTTGACATACTGGACAAAGCGGTACACATCAGTCTGTCCCCAAGCCCAGGTTTCACACAAAGCACGTTGAATACTGCTTTCAATAGCACACTCAACTTGCTCCCACGTTTAATTTGCCGAATCTACAGAAACAGAACCTTTGGGAATATCGGGAATTATTTCCAACTTTGTCCAGTGACATTCAAATGCTCAGGCAACTACTGGTAACTTTCATTTTCTGCTTACTACAGATGTTGCATACCGACAGGAAAAAGAAAGTTTTAGAACTGGACAAGCTATTGTAATCCCAAGTTTTGGTAGAATTATATACAAAAAGGGGACTTTATTTATATAGAGTTTTCAATCTGTAGTTTCACTTTTCAAAATAAAACCTGTATATATAAACGGATAACATTCAAGATCTGTATATGAATAACAGTTGCTTTCTGGCTAAAACAATATATTTAGACAGAATCTCACTTTCTGTTTTTCACTTCAAGTATGCTAGCCAGTCCAGTCCTTTGGGAAAAAACACTTCCATTTTTAAATCTTTTCGGATCCATCAGGTTCATTATATGGTACTGACCTTATCCTATACAATATACTATATTATGAGGTGAACTGAAGGGGATTAGATATCAAAGTATCGGTCTGGGTGCAGTAAGCCAAACAGCTGTTCAAACATGATACTACAGCTGAAATAAGTCTCTGTCAGAATAAAAACCAACATTCATGAAAACAGCAGCAGCCACCAAAAAACATTCACAACTGCAGGGATTTTTTACTGGATGTAATTTTGCATTATAAGTAGGAGAAGCCACAATAGTTTAAAGCAAAATTAAAAAAAAATACCACTATAGTCTTGAGTTTAATAATGTGAATCATCACTCACAGCTGTTTATAGAAGTGTGCTAAAAAAATTTACTTAAACATATGAATTTAAGACTTTCACTTTATTCAGCAAATTGGTTTATTTACACAATGGGGAACGCTGGTTGAACGCTGTCAATGTAATAAAAACAAACCTAACAGAGACAATACTGAACTCTCTCTATGTATTCATAGCAGAAATGACAAACTATTTCCTTACCTGTATCAGGAACATCAAGCGCAACAATGGGACAGTATCATCAGACACTGATTTAACAAGAAACCACAGAGGTCCAGTAATACTATGGCAATTTACTCATGTATTTACTGACTTTAAAAAAAAAAAAGAAAAGTCAGCAATACCCAGTATAAAGTTCTGTCAATTATCAAACTCTGATGAGTAGGTCAGTAAAACCTTATCAGATCATCCACAATTCATAAAGTGACCTGATCTGCTTCAGACCACTAATACAGAAACAAAATTGTTGGGAATACATTACCCTCTAAAAGGCGACAATGATCTGATAAGGGTTTAATTTAATGGAAGTTTAAAAAAATTAAGAATTGCAGAGCACAGCCCCTATTAGAACAAGCTAACTTTCCAGACTTTCAAAAAAGACAAAAAAAAAAAAAAAAAAAAAAAAAGGAAAAAAAAAAAAAAAAACAACACTTCAACATGAAGCTACCATACAAAGTTTTTTCTGTTTTCCTTTTTTGTTGATGGGTTTTTTGTTTGTTTCATTTTTTCTTTTAAGCGTTCAGAGTTGCAATTTAATCCTGGCTTTTTAGTGAGAAGGACAGTTTTGGCCTAGACTTTCCTTTGCCCAGGATAATTTTTTGCTCTTCCTTTTGCTGACGTTGTCTCTCTTGTTCTAGTTTCATCCTCTCCTCATGAATCTTTCTTTGTTCTTCAACAATTTTCAATTGTTCTTCAGCCTATATATGAAAATGGTAGAATTTAGGCCAGCATATTTTGTAGTCATAAAAGCACTTTACAAGTCCATATTAAATTCCAAACAGGTCCGATCCTGCATAGGTATGTAAGCAGTTCTACCTGAGCTAGATGCCATAGCTAGTTTCAGTGAAACTATTTATAAAATGGTTATTTGAACTGAGTTTAGAAGGAACACTCAAAACTTTTTAAAGCTAATGTGTCAAAATTTTGAGTGCTTACACGCAATGTTTTTCAGCATTGCTTTGCAAACACATTACACTTTAATTAAGGAAGTCAGTGTATATAAAAATTCCCCTGACACCTGTCACGTGTCAGATGAAGACAATATAATGAAGTAACAGACCTTCAAACAGACGTCTCCCCGCTCCAAAATGCACCTAAAAACCCCTCCTATTTCAAAATCTTCGTTACTTGATTTGTAACAAGTCAATCCTTACACTGACTTATGGTTCTTACAACTCTTCTGGTGGTCTTCTAAAGGTGTTTATTAGTTCTTTATGTCAGTTAATACTTTGAGTTTTCTATTTGTCCCGTTTCTACCATTTGAGGTTGAGAAAGGGGTAAAACAGAGAGAGATCTAAAGTTCAAGCACACAGTTTTAAGAAGCATCATCTTTACCTGAAAAAGGTGTCATTACTTGGGTAACTGAAACTTCTCAGAGTTCAACTGGGATTCAGAGGAAGCTGAGTTTGGCTTATCATTAATTGATTAGAATCAGCTAAATCATATTGAATGTCCTCATGAGGCAGGCACCTGCTTAAATAGGCTTGGCGACCAAAATGAGCTAGATTTTCGTAGCTTACACATCTTGAGCTTATGCTGAAAGTCCCTTTCAGCACTTGTACCTCACCATTATACTAGTTTCAAATCCAGTTTGTACTTGTCCAGCTCAAGAAACCAGAATTAGTCACTTCTGTTGTAGAAGCTGAATGTATCCACAAACTTACTTCAACCTTGCCTGTGAGATACAGTTAAAAATGTACTTTTCAAATTCTGAAGGCAGTTATCTTCCTCTAAATTAACCAAATTTTTTTCAGACTAGTGCCACTGCTAAGCATCTGGTCTCTTACGCTCAAGGGAAGGAGAGTAATGCTACTAACATAACCAGCAACAGAAAAGTTAAACTCTAGAAAGGGTTGATTTGTTTATTCTAATTGCGTTGCAAATCAGGCAGAGGGACCTGTATTCCCCTAAAGAGTGGTAACTAAACCTTCACATACCAGTTTAGCTTGTGCTTCTGCAATTTTTCGATTATTCTCTTCTAGTATTCGCTCTAGTTCCTCACGCTTTGCACGCTCTTCTTCCTAAAGGGGAGGACAGGGCAAGATGTTAGTAAAGTAAAATATTAATTTCTGCATGTTCACTAATCTTCCTCAGAATTCTTTTGTGAACTGACTTAAAGTGGCAGCTTTACAGCCACCTATTTTGTCTCACAACGGTAAATTGTGCGGCCACTAAAACTGGTTTCTAGCACTCAATTTACATCATCCCGCCCAGTCCAAACAGCAACCAACTAAACCCTCCCTAATCATAGAATCCTGACAATTTATTACTAGAATTTTAATATCACACAAATCAACAAGGACAACTACAAAAACTGGATAGTATTTACCAAATTAAAAAGTAATATAGAAAATATAAATAAAGCGAATAGTTTGTCTCACCAATTAAGTATACCTACGTATTCTTTACCTATACTCCTTTAATCAGCATTAAAAGTTGAATATTTACTGTCTTGTCCAGTGTCCTGCAGAGTGTGCTCCTCGGCTGCCATACGCGCCAGCTTCCTCTTTAAAATGATTTGTACTGTTAGCTTGGCAATACCTGCATCAGCAGCTCAACCATTTATAAAGAAACAACATACAAGGAAGGCTGAGCTGAGGAATGCAGATGTTTATGATAAGAAGGAACAAAAATATGTAAATCATTCCTAAGGCAAACAATTAATAAGAAAAATACATTTACTGTTAGTGAAAAATACAAATGGTAATCCATACTTCATGGAGCTATGGGCTTCCTTCATGGGGAGAATGGACTTAACATTCAATATTTTGACAATTTTAAGACAGCTGAAACTGTCATTTGCAGTCTGAACTTGGAATTCAGGAGTCCAGGGAAGGCAAGATCAGGAAATAAAGCCTTGTAATTGTTGTTTTCTTGGTGAATTTTATGGAACTCTGTTATGCAACTCATAAATATGAAGACTGCATGAAAGTTTTTGAGGTGTTTCAGTTCACGTAATATATATCCGAATTATTTTAATATTTGGAAGATTTAAAGTTAGCCAGAGGTTTGTGTCTGTGTAAGAAAAAAAAGTTAATACGAACAAAGCAAGCATATGAAGAGAAAACTTCTTACTATGACTAGTAACCAGCTACTAGCTAGCACACTTCACTCCAGGCATGGAAGTTTACTCTGCATTATAAAGAACCGATGGGACTTCTCCACATCACATTAACAATAGCAAAATCACTTTAAAAAAAAAAAAAAAGTCATCCATCTGATCAAACAGAAACCTCTATACATTAAGCATCTGCTGACAACAGACATCTACATTCAACTTCAATTCTTTCATAGTAAGGTTTGAATTTGCAAAACAAGCGTAATTCAGTATTCTTGGTATTTGTTGTAACTCCATGTTCTGGATTTCTTTCGTTTTTAATTTAAACATATTATGTGACAGACAGAATGGTGAGTTTCATTGCTACTGTCTTTCCTTTTGTAAGCCAATCAAAATATTAATTTAAAATAGACTGTGTAGGAGGTAGAGAGTGAAAAAAGCATTTGAGACTTATGACTATTTAGCACAAATTTCCTTCACAGTTTCAACGTTTGTCTTGAAATTTCTGGATCCTGGAATGATTGGTGCATGCAGGCATCAAAGCCTTTAGCAGCAAATTACTGTCTCACAGAAAGACATTTTCAGCTTCTGCTCCAGCTGCTGATTAAGAAAAAAAAAAAAAGAAAACCCCAAAAACCCAAGTCACATTGTTCAGCTTGACTTCAGACAAGGGCAACCTGCTCTTTTATAACTTCTAGGGAAAAAAAAAGGAGTTGTTAGTAGTTATTAAAAATGGATATAATGATTTGGACATAGATCCTTCATGAAGACGTGGATGGCCTTACTCTCGAAGTCCCAGAATTAGTCCAATGTACGCTCAAGGAAAATGTTCATTTTAAATGAAGAGTAAGAAACCTATTCGTTAAAGACAGGTACTGCAGCTCACTGCTGGACCCTGCTTTTTGCCTGACTGAAGGCAAAAGCCTCTTACAGTCTAAGTAAGCAAAATGAAACAAATGAAGGATACATAATTACAGATTTTCAATACCCTTCCCCAAAAATGACAGAACCGCTGATAAATCCTGCAGCCATGGCAAAAGTTTCAAACAATTCTGAAATATGTAGGTCAGTTCCATTAAAAATCAAGTATCCTTGTTCAGGTTTTAGGAGAATAACTGTTTAAGTATCAGTGAGCTCCTCTGAATAGGCTAGAAATTAAGTTTCGCAGCAATGCAAGTTTATACAAGAAGGGAATTAGATTTGCTGTATTCCATCTCTTTCTGAACCGAACAGGAGGCACAAACCGACACTGAAAGTTTTGCCATGGACTGTCTCTACTTTCCAAACGACCGAGCGTTACCTCTCTGGCTTTTTGTGCTGCAAGTTCAGCTTGTCGCTGTCGCTCGAGTTCTTCGAGCAACTGTTTTTCCATGATGCGCTTAGCCTCCTCCACCCTGCGGAGAACCTCCCGTTCAATCTCATCCTTCCTTTTCTCCAACTCTTCTTCTACTCGTTTAGCCACAAGCTCTTCCACTCTTCGAGCAGTTTCTTCCTCTATGAGTTTCTCTTCAATTTCTTGTTGACGACTGCAAAAGGCAAACACGAGGATTACCTTTTTGATCAATCAAGAACGGCTGCACTGCACTCTTACAAATACACAGCATGAGCCACATTACTGAATCACAGTTTTATACCTTATACACACACAGATCATATATTTAAAGTATGTTTTGCCCTACATTTAAGGAAAGTGAATATTCAGGCAATCGGTGTTCCTACCACAGGGAGCCCATTTGGACCGTACCATATTTAGCATCTCTCCATATCTCGACACTAAGCTTAAGACGACAGCTTATCATACTACTTCTCGACCACTTTCAAGGGAAAAAAAAGAAAAGAAGAGACACCACCCAACTTTGGCAATCCTTCAACCTTCAGGAATTTAAATAGCCTCAATTTTAAGCCACACGTAGCAATAATGTCTTGTAAAATCCTGTCTTTAAGCCACCACCTCAGAGGCACCAAACAAATCTCTAAAAACTAAAACAGAAGACAGAAGCAGAAGAATTTATAATGTGAATACTTCAACAAGAATTCCAGGTGTTGTAGCTGTAATCTAGTTACCCAATCATTTACCTTATCAAATTTCAAATACCTCAGCTCTACGTAATTTTGTCATTGCAGCACTGCGTTTCTACCGTAACTATCCAAAATAAAATACACCAATACCAAGCGCTAAATAAATTCTTGCAACCTTTACAGTTTTCCATGTTCTGAATTTTGGAAGGATTTTGAAATGCCTTTTTGTCTTTATGTTTGTTTAGCAGCAGCATTATTACTTAGCCTGATCACTGTTTTAAGTTTTCATTACAAAGGATACAAAAAGATTAAGCCAATTCACAGGTTTATTAACAAATGAAGGAAAAAAATACTCCAGGCACTAGTACAATATGGCAATTAGATATCCAAAGCTGAACAGAAGTGAATACTGTACAGCTATGTTTCATATAGTACTACTTATTTAGAATTATTATGGGCTTTGGGGAGAAGGTTTTTCTTTTTAACCTTGAAATTGAACTTTCATTTTAAGTATTCTGTGAAGTACAGAAAAATCTTATGAACTTATCTTCTGCCCCGTCATCACAAGACTTCTATGGTTTAGGATAACAACTACTGTTGTAATATCCTAATACCCTATTGTTTTCATAATGTTTGCATTTTCTTATTTATCTGGAAAGATAAATCTCATTTACACCGAGAGACATAAAAACGGTTTAAAAAAAAAAATTACAGAATTTACTAACTTTTAGATTTCCCAGTGTACAATTCGGAAACATACAATAGATGATAAAGTACTGATTACTGATCTAGATAAACATGTGAAATAACAAGGTGAAAGGCTCACAAATTCCCACTTTTCATGTGTGTTACTTTCAAAAGTGCGTTAAAACAAATGGATAGCCTATCTCCTTCAGTAAAAAGTTGTGGAACATCCAACTTAAAACATTCACCCTCAGAACACAAATTTTGTTCTTACGTTCCTGAAAAGATAGCAAACTTATACAGTGGCACATCAATCCAGCATTCACTTTTCCTGAAGTGACACAAACTACCCCGAGGTAATTTTTTTCAGGAAAAGAAAAAAAACAAAACCAAAAAACCAAGACGGCCATCACCCAGAAAAATGCATCAATCCCACTTGTCAGTGTGTCTCTGCCAAGCCACTACTACCTACGATCCTTTTTGGATGAAATCATAGAATGCTTTGGGTTGGAAGGGACCTTCAGAGGTCATCTAGCCCAAATGTGGGAGAGGTCAAAAGTTTGAGACAAATTTTTAAACACTCTTTATATACTAAATACCTTTTATTTTTAAAGGGTTTTCTTCCCTCTTATAGGTATGTATTTATCAGCGAGTACTCTCACTGTCCTGTACTGACACAGCTCAACACACGTAAGAGGCTGTTCTACAGAAACCGTTTTTCAGAAAGCTCATATTTATAGTTTTTACTCAAATGTTTTAGCTTTATGCTTAACATGAGGGAAATCCAAAATAAAAGTTAGCTAACTGAATAACAATAGTACATAGTTACAAAAAAACCCCCTGACGCTCATGTCTGAAATAAGTTTTCAAATATGCTCAGAAACTGATGACATGCTCAAATTAAGCACCGTGCCTGCACAGGTTTCATTCTTCTCACCCAAACAAATTCCATTTAAATTTAATTAAACCAAGTAAATACACCTTTTCACATTCACAGGCAATGACAACATTACAAATATATAATAATCGTTCAGTGTAAGCAACCACATTTCTTGAAACACTAGAAATAGAAACAAGTGAAATAAAGCAAAAATTTATTCTCAGAGTTCATTTATAAGACCACCCTGTGCCTACAAATAAGAATAATACACTTCCAAGCAATGGCTTTGAATTTATGAAGAAAATCAAATTATCAATACATATATAAATCTCAATGATTTATTCTGTGGTTTACACCAATTATTCCTTGAGTTGTTTGGGTTTTTTTTTAAGATCGCATGAACGTACAGTATTTTATATACAATCGTAAGCTAACCATTCTGACCTACCGATCCATGACACCAGAGAAACAGATAAGTCGTTAATGTAAAGATATTTTTAGTATGCTCCATTTACTTCTTAAAGACTAATTTTAGAAAATCTGCAGAAAAGAAACTGCTTACATTTCAGCAGATTTTTGAGGGGAAAAAAAAAAATCTTATTTGCAAGGCCTTTACAGAAAACCGGCATTACAGGAAAAAGCAGATGTCAGGCTACGTATTAAGATTGGAACAGACATGAGAAGTCAGTCACTTTCAATATATGAACTGTCCACTAGTTAATTCAGTCAGCAAGACTTTCTTCACTAACTTGAGTATATACTAACATATATAACACAATTTACATACGATTTACTCAAATACCATAGTTTTCTACTCTATTAAGTTTTATTGCTTTTTCTATTTGAAATTTAAAGTGTATTCTAGAAGCATCAAAATTCTATATACAATCTTCTCCAGCGTTGTTTCTCCATCAGAAGTTCACTATTCTGTTGCAAATATCACTCAAATGTCATATACCTTGTATACAGACTTCATGAGTGTTTTAACATTTCAAAGCCAACTTGTACAGAAAACTTCACGCAGAAAATAGAGCTGAAATGTATGTTGCCACATCTAATATTACTGAATGAACTCCAGTTCATTCAACATGCTCAGTTTCCATTTGAGCACACACAGCAAAAAACCGATCAAATATTTCAGTTATAGTATTTGAAGATTATGGACACTTCATTTTCCATAAGCACTTGAACCAATTCCCTCTTTCAGCTTTTAAAGCCTAGACACCGACTTACCACAAAATTTTCCACTCAGACTAACACTGTTTAACATTTTAAGTTAGACGATATTTTGTTATTTATGAAATGTTCTCTTTCTTCAAAATCCATTTACGTAATAGTTAAAAAAATACACATCCAATAAAATAGTTCCAGAATATGAAGAAACTATTCATTGTGTTCTAAATTGTCAGGCACATTTCACTCCTCCTTCCCACATACGCACGCAATATTTTTATTAATTTAGGTACTGAATAAAACTATACACTGCAAAATTAGGGTAAATAACTCAAAAAGCCGTCAACATTTTCACCTGTGTTTGTGTCACTATGCAAGTTTTTGGTATCACTGTCCAATTCCAAAGTTAGGAGATTATTGACAAACAAAAACAAAAGTGACAACTCGGGTCGATCAAGCCTTCTGGGCCACGATTAAGACCTCATCAGAACAATATCGCTGAAACAGAACTCAAAGCTCGACCTGAGAATTAGCAGAAATAGCTGGCTTCATGCGTATGAACAAGTTCCATTTCTGGATTCAGCGCTCCAGTGAGTAAGGGTGACAGCCGAAGAACAAGCATCACTCATCACGACCGGTACACCCGTTGTTACCTCTGCTGCGTAAAGGTCTCTCTCATAATCACACTGCTAGCATCTTAACGCGCATCCAGCGCTCGTTACCATGGAACCTCTCTGTCCTTACGGACTCGGTAAATAAACACGTTCCACACCACAAAAAACCCGGAAAGGAGGAGGCTTCAAGCCAGCCCCACCGGCTGAGAAAACGCGGAAGACGCCCC